GTCATTGAAAAAAAGAAAGGCTATACACAGAGAAACCAGCTAGAAGACAATGTCAGAAATCCACGTATGAAGTAACAGGAGCATGATCAAAGGTAATGGCCAGGAAATTATAAAGAAAGTAGGTTTTAAAAAGCACATGGAACAAATGGCCCTTACGCATAAGAAAAGATGCTTAACTTTGTTCATTATATAGGAAATGCAAATTTAAACTACAATGATTTACCATTTCTCACCTATCAGACTGGAAAAATACATAAGTTTATAGCACACCGTATAGGCAAGGCTGTAGGAAAATACTCTTATTTATTACTGGTGGGAAGACAAAGTGATGCAACCACTGATAAAGGACATTTGGCAGTATATAACACAATTATGTATGCATTTATCCTTTGATGCCACAACATCTCTTCCAGGAATTTACCCTGAGAATAGACATCTGTTAATTCAAAAGAGCATATTCATAGTTATTCATTATGGCATTATTTGTGGTAGCAAACTACTGGAAACAACTTAAATGCCCATTCATGGAAGACTGGTTGAATGAACTAAAGTACACATACACTACAGAGTACTATGCAGCCATAAAAAAGAGCAAAGAATATCTATATGAATTGATAGTGATTTTATGATATACTGTTAAATATAAGGTAAGGTGTAAAAAAGTGCACCTGATATACTATCTTTTGGTAAGAAAGTGTAATAAAATAAAATATAGGTGTGTGTATATACATTTTCATTTATTTTTAATAAGAAATACAGAAAAGATAAATCAGAAACCAATGAAAATGATTACCTATGGAGGAAGGGGAAAGGAAATGGGAGTGAGACTTCTCTAGATATACCTTTTTTACATATTTTGTTTTGAACCATGTAAATGGTTTACATATTCATAATAAGTGACATAGTAATTCGTGTAAATGGGTTGCCACTGGCCAATTTGGGACAATTTGAGCATGAAAAATTATTGATGATAAAAAATTACAATTCAATTAAGCAGAATCCATGCATCAATAATGACATTTAAAGAAGACAGGTCACAAGAAGGGAAAATATAATAAAGGAGAAAGCTCTTCTTTACAGAAAAATTTTAGCTCATATATATGCAAAGGAAGAATTAGAAAATCATTATTTTAGATCCCCTAGTGGCTCAAAGGAGACTCATCAGTGGATGCTAAAATCATTAAGTAGAAAATTGTTCGGTAACATGATAATCACACAGACTCAAAGTACCTCCGTAATTAACAGTTAATTACGTTGGAAAGATTTGCTGGTTGCCAACTTAACCAAGTTACTATACTTAGCATTACCATTATTAGTTCCACATAACCCGATGTCATGTGTTTCCTGATGTGATATATTAACAAGCACATAATATTGCTTAGTATCCTTGACAAAAGTGTCTAGACCAATGATTCCTAACTGGAGGTGATTATGACCAAAGGGGATATTTGTTGATATTTTCAGACATTTTTGATCATCACAACTAGGGGGTTGTTACTAGTGGACAGAGGTCAAGAATGCTTCTAAACATTCTATAATGCACAAAGAATTATCTACATCAAAGAATTATCTAGCCCAAAATGTTAATGCTGAGGTTGAGAAACCCTTATTTAGCCTGAAGATAAATCCAGAATGTAATGTATGTATAAGGCAAATGACCTGTACTCTTCAAAAAAAATTCAATGTAATAGAAAAAAAAAAAAGTATGGGGGTTAAGTAAAACAAAATAAAGAGATAAAACAACTTTTAATTTTTCTTTCGAAGCTATGGAAAGGCTAAAATAGCAGTACAATGAACACCTTTGTATGCTTCACCTAGATCCCCTTTTTTGCCCTGAACTATTTGAAAAATAAGTTGTAGACATCACAACATTTCATCCCTACATACTTTTTCATGCATCTCCTAAGCAAAGAACCTATTCCTGCTCAATATAACACAACCGCCACATCCGGGGAAACATTAATTCAGTACGATGTCAGAATGGACCTATAAATGCCCCCCTTTCCTGTCTCTATACAGTATAGTTATACCAATAGTTGCCAGCAGTTATTGAACACTAATGTTCCAGGTGCTGTGCTAAGTTCCTTAAGTGTCTCACCTCATTCAACTCTAAAGAGTAGATGTAATTATTGTTCTCATTTGGCAGATGAAGAAATTAAGCTCAGAACAGTTAAATAACTTATATGAGGTCACAGGGCTGGTAAGTATTATTACTGGGACATGATTAGACCAAAATTCATGTGTTTTGGGACTATTCTGTTCATATCACCTAATGTTCTTCCCTTCTAACTTTACAGAATAATAAAAAGATAAAAGAAAACCTTATTTTCTGCCCCTTCCTCAGTTCTACACACAATAACCACTGTACTTTGTTTGGCTACAACTTTATGCCCAATAACATAACTGAATTTTCCATTCAGTCAGTGAAACTTTTCATAATAGTCATGCAAATTGATTTGGGGTCACTGTTCACATGAAGTTGCCAGCCTTCAGGACCTGCCTCTGGAATGTTCTGAGATAAGGCAATGTAGATAGGGGGATCTTTGCGACAGCAAGACCAAAAGAACAGGCAGGCACATTTTCACTTACCCTCCGCCACTTTACCTCCCTTCATTCACCTCCACTGGAACTCATTTCCTCTGTGGGAAAGTGGGTTCCATTATTGGGGTATAATTGGCAAGAGACACCTTTCTCTCCTCCACATGAATATGAGATACTCTTTACCGTGACCCACATTAAATTCAAGTGTCAGATCCAGGAATCAGAGAACCAACTTCATTCCTTCTTGCTACCTATGTTTCTATTAAGGAATGAGACCTCGTTCACAGAAGAGAAAATATAGAGACATCTGAGACGTAAAGTCATGGTTTAGTTTTCCAATGGGGCAAACATACAGTTTTTCAAATCAAATATTGTAGTCACAGATCACTATTTATTTCATTTCTACCCAGATCTCCCATTAGACCTTTTCCACAAATTTTCAGGAAAACAAAACAATGTCAAACTGTTTTGGTACCTTCCAAACCAAAGGCATTGTAGTATAAAATTTATACTAGGCTGATGTCTCCTTTAAATTGGAAAGAAGTTGCTGATCATAAAAGTGAAACTCAACATTCTTAAAGAACCTACTTTCCAGTGACCTAAAGCATCACTCACCATTATGC